GTTAATTAGATTTGGACCATTGTCTTTTTATTTGTTTACTGACATTTGATGGTGGGCAGGTCATTTGTGTTGGGTCAATATTTCGCTATCTGTATTAACTTTTTTTTCTTTCTTTTTAACAATTGCAATTATTTTATTTCGATTATGTTACACCTGTTTACAGACATGGCCTGTACGTACACCTAGGCCTGTTGCTTCGAAACTTGCTGCAGATACTCCTCTGCTTACTGGTCAGGTAACTCTTGTTACGGTTGTTTTAATCAACTTTTCCTTTGAAGGAATTTGGTATTGACTTTGTCTGTACTCTGTGGTCAGCGTGTTCTTGATGCTCTATTCCCCTCAGTTCTTGGTGGAACTTGTGCTATTCCTGGTGCATTTGGCTGTGGTAAAACTGTGATTAGTCAAGCTCTTTCTAAGGTAAGTTTTTTACATTTTTCTATTGAACTTTAACTTCTTTCAGTGATTCAGTTGTAGATATTCATTGTGTTTATTTTTCTGACCATGTGCAGTACTCAAATTCCGATGCTGTTGTTTATGTTGGTTGTGGGGAGCGAGGAAATGAAATGGCTGAGGTGTGTATTTCTCGTTCAATTTGAAATTTTATCCATCTGTTAGATTTTAGTACCCTGATCATGTTTTTATTTATTTCAGGTTCTTATGGATTTTCCTCAATTGACAATGACATTGCCTGATGGTCGTGAAGAATCGGTCATGAAGCGCACAACGCTTGTGGCAAATACTTCTAACATGCCTGTGGCAGCTCGTGAAGCCTCGATTTATACGGGTGCAACTTTGAACTGCAAATCACAGTAATTGGATAGTGAACTATTGCTTGAAGCTTAACATTTGGGACTAAGGGTGTCCAATTGTTGTTTTTGGCTAAATTCTTTAGTTACATGACAATTTGTGGGATCTATTCTTGTTATCGTTGTTTCCTCCTGTATTATGAAAAGGACATGGGCTGCCATAACACTTCTTTTAATGGGTATTCAGGGATCACAATAGCTGAATACTTCAGAGATATGGGCTACAATGTTAGTATGATGGCAGACTCCACATCTCGTTGGGCAGAAGCATTGCGTGAAATTTCTGGACGGCTGGTAAAACTCTGCCAAAACTTTGATAATGAAACCTGTCTTCCCTTTTACTTATAATTTTTCCTAATGCTTCATATAGTTTAGGGATGTTAACCTAGTGCATGGAGAATACTTCAGTTTAGTCTGTTCAATAACAATCCTTATGACGGACAATAAATTAATAATGTTTAAGTGATTTGGGTAGAACTGCTATTTCTTTTCGTTTTTCCAGTTGTCTGGTCCTTCAGCTTATAAATACTGTCAAAATTAAGATTTGGTGGAAAAGTGGCTTGTTTTGTTTTGTTTTGTTCGTTAACGAAATTGTTATTTCTTCTTTCTGTCTGGTATACTTCCGATATTCACCCTTTTGTCTTCACATCTTTCTTTCTATTAAGCTCATCTTGGCATCCATGTTAATTTCTCTTGCAGGCTGAAATGCCTGCTGATAGTGGATATCCTGCTTATCTGGCTGCAAGATTAGCCTCTTTTTATGAACGTGCCGGTAAAGTTAAATGCCTTGGTGGGCCAGAACGTACAGGTAGTGTCACAATTGTTGGTGCAGTTTCTCCTCCTGGAGGAGATTTCTCTGACCCTGTGACATCTGCAACCCTCAGTATTGTGCAGGTATGAATCAAGATTTTATACACTCCCCCGGTTATGTTAGTGATGTGTATGATTGTTATATTTATCCATGCAAGAAAAGAAAACTATCTCCTTGTTCCTTGTTGGTCTGGATTTTAGGTTTTCTGGGGTCTTGACAAGAAACTTGCTCAGAGGAAGCATTTCCCTTCTGTCAACTGGCTTATTTCATACTCAAAGTACTCGGGGGTATGTTCATAATCTGATCCATCTTAGTTTGTAATTATCCCAAAAAAAACAGTGTTTCTTTGTTCTTTCCTTGATCTGGCCTTTCCCCAAGTGGTACAACTTTTCCATATGGATTGATTGTTTCTTGTGTTCCCAGGCATTGGAATCTTTCTATGAGAAATTTGACCCAGATTTTATTAGCATTAGGACAAAGGCCCGAGAGGTGCTTCAGAGGGAAGATGATCTGAATGAAATTGTCCAGGTATATTTCCTTGTCATGCTATGTTTCTTGATGAATTAGAATAGAGTCTGTCACTATGCATAACATAATGCTGCTTTCGTCCTCTTGTCCCTTCATTTTGCTTTCGTTTCCATATTTAGGTTGTAATGTTACTGTTGGTCTTGGTTATGTTAGACCTGCTTAAGGGCAGGGGTCATTGTTTGACCTGATAGGCCCAGCCCGTACAGGAAAATTCTGGCTAGTCTCCCACCCAAATTACTAGTTTCCTTAATAATAAAAACATCGCTAGCACTGGCTTTGGTTGAGGATCTTGGTAAAAAATCAGTCCGCAGCTGAGTCTTTGGACGCATTTTATCATGTAGTGTGCTAGTGTAATTTTTTAGGACCGTCTTTTTGTCTCATCTCACTTTAGCACTCACTGGTATTTTTATTGTCACAGCTTGTAGGAAAGGATGCTCTAGCTGAAACAGATAAGATCACACTAGAAACTGCTAAACTTTTAAGGGAAGATTATCTTGCTCAGAATGCTTTTACTCCGTAAGATTCATCCTCTACCATTTGATACCAGAAAATTATCTTAGTAGCTATCATTATAAATGTTTTCGTTTTCATATTGTAATCCTTCTATGCACGTGTTTCTTGATTTTTCCTGTGACAGATATGACAAGTTCTGCCCATTTTACAAGTCTGTTTGGATGATGCGCAACATTGTTCATTTCAATACTTTGGCCAACCAGGTAATCCAACCATGCTCTCCACCACTTAAACTTCTTATCGGTACTATTATATTTTTCGATATTTCTATTGTGGCTGTTTTTCGGTGCTGACATGGACTTCTATAATCTGACAATGAGTTGGGAAGTGTCAACTTTTTTTTTCTGATGCACAATAAGTAGAACTGAACAGATTTAGAAGTCAGTGTTAGTATTTTGGCAGTTTTCGTTTTATGATGTCAATTAATTCTATTTATTTGTACCAAGATTAGAAATAGTTATTCGGTTTTACACAGTACATGGACTAAATTGTATTTTTTAATCATATGGGACTGCTTCGGCATATTAGCGCGGTTTTAGCTATATTGGAAAATGCTAGGGGAAAGAAAATGGCAACTTCTTTATGGGAAAGAGAAATTGCATATGGAAATTAGCATTCCAAATTCTAAAATATCTATTTCACTAAAGATGCGAAGTGTATGCTAAGAAAAGTACCACCGTGTTATAAATGTATATATATGATAATCAAAGGTTGTGATTGAGTTTGGTGTGATGTGCAGGCAGTGGAGAAAGCAGCCGGGATGGATGGTCAGAAGATAACATATAGTCTTATCAAGCATCGTCTGGGAGATCCCTTTTATCGATTAGTGTAAGTTTGAGCTTTCTGCTTGGAATTTGTCGAAGAATACAAAGATGAATCAAAGCGAAATGAGACGCAAAAAGTTGTTTTCCTAGTATGTCGTGTTTTTGGCTCAAAAGAAGGGATAATGACGTTGCTCAACTTGTCCATTTTTGTTACATCACAGGTCACAAAAATTCGAAGACCCAGCGGAAGGAGAAGAAGCTCTTGTGGCAAAATTCAAAAAGCTTAACGAGGATCTTACAGTTGGTTTCCGCGCATTGGAGGATGAGACTAGGTGAACAAGATTAGACTTTTTCCCCTATCCTACTCCAGGTTTCTCTCTTCTTTCTCTCCATCTTTCGGAGCATGTATCTCGCTAGATGCATGCCTTGCCGGCGTTGTAGCTTTTGTTGGCACGAATGCTAGAGCCCTATTAGCTGCAAATTCATTATTTTATTATTTTTATGGCCTTTGCTTTTTGGCAGCATGAAACTGGAGTCCGTTTTTCTGTCATGTATGTTTGCAATAAGATGTGTGTGTATTTCGCCTTGGATTTGGTTGGGAAAAATATTTTCATCATAATAAGCTGCCTGCGTATTCATTCAACGTCAACAATCCATATATTGAGTTCATTGCCTTGTTATTTTCGTTTCATTTTATATCCTACTCGTTGGCAAACTGCATATTACTGGGAATCGCCCGATTTCAAAAGTAGTTTATGGATGGTAAAATAGACCGTAATATCGACCAGATCCGATGAGGCTTTTGAGGGTTTTTTATGAAATATTCCTTGATTTGTCTGTCAACTACTAATTAAATACATAATCCATGATATCAACAACTGGAAATGAACAACACGAGAACATGTGAAAATACAAACCAACTTGAACACCAGATGAATATATGAAAATTATCAAAAAGCACATATTACACAAATTAATGGTTTGTCAAAAAATACAAACCTAAATCAGTAGCTTTGCTCAGTACGTAAAACAGAAGCTCCGATCCGACCTGAGTTAAGCAGGGCCAACTTTAGGAATGTGGTAATCATATTGGCCCGATGTTGATTGAAGTCCTGAACTCTATAGCGGTGAGATTTATTAGACAAGCGAGCGGCATCGAGTTGCTCTGTCTTCGTAATGAGTAGCCAGCCGCATTTGATTTGTTGACATCTCTTTCACTTGGATCAACGGAGACTTGTGCTTTCCCATCTGCATCGAGTGCCACCTAAAACTATTAGATCTACATAGAACCAAAATGAACGAAAGATTAGGGTTTTCTCTTCAACTTCAACTCCCCGCCTGACATTCCCGTTTCTTTCCTCCTGTGAATTACCCGAAATCAAATCATCCCTCACCTTGTCGAATGAACCAGTTAATTTTTTTTCCCGATGAATAATTTGAATGTGAATTTTAAGATTTTATAATCAAAGACCTCCAATTTGATTCTCCGGGAGATGGCAAAGATGATACCGATTTCCCTGCCGGTGGAAAATTTTGGGATTTATCGAGCAAATTTATTTTTAAATTTTGGGATCAGTCTGACAAAGAGCCTGAGTTCATAGGCAGAGCGTTATTCCAATTACCAAATCATTAACACTTTTACTCCGCAATTGTCCAAAAGCCAAACCCAACTAGGGATTCAATAGAGCACCAAGGCGTCCTACATTTCATAAACCTCCCGAAAAGCAAAAGGCAAAGGAGATGATGTTACAATACAGTTTTCAAGATCAAGCACGTTAGAGAGTGAATTCATTCGAAACATCCATCTCTCAGTAAATTCCAGGGATGATCTTGTACGGAACCTTGTTGCAGTATAGTTTCCAGTACTTCCCATACCTGACAAACAAAAAAACGAGTTCTCTTTAGTAAAAGTAAATGTTCTCTCATTAAAAATGGTCCGTGCTTGATATTAGGATCCACAACCTAAAACCAATTGACAGACAACACTTTCCAGATTGAACTCATGCGAGATAAAGAAGACCAAGTGAAAAAGTAGAGGTACAGAGGAAAAAGTAATAAAACCACAGAACAGATAAGTCCAAGTGAAACACACAAGTTAAAGTTGCTTACTTGGATCGGCACCGGTCATCATCCCTTTTGGCTCGATCGAATAAGAGAATGGTAAGAAACACGACATAGAAGTACGGCAGAAACTGATGGAGAAACCAAAAGCAATAAAATTTTCAGATATGGTTACGAGTAGGACCAAGTAGTATACTAGTAACAACTATGATTAAGCGTACATGGTTGAACAGAGCTGGAACAGTCCAAAAAAATGCAGCTAATATTTCCGGCACATAATGGAAATGACGAGCCAAACCCCACCTGCAAGAGCCATTAATATTGCATTTGTTACGACAAGGTCCAAGCCACAGCTCAAGTATATTGTCCGGTACTGATAACTATGTGAAGAACATCATTGCTTATGAAAAGCCACTCAATTCCAGTTAAGCTTGTACATGTTGATTTGGCTTATAAATATCTTCAAGACAGAAGGATACTGAAAATTCATAAAATTCTATTTATCTTTCTAGATTTTAGACCTCATATTGATAAATTGAGGTTTATGAGGAATGATATCAATCCGTTGAAATGAACCATGCAACCTCCGACTGTCGTATACATGCTGGTTTGCACAGAAAATTTCAAATTCACACCAGAAAAACTCACCATCCTGATGTTAAAAGAAGGCTGGTTTTGGTTTCCCCAGATGTTGTGTAGGTGGCCTCAATCTGTAGAAAAGAGCAGACAAGTTCAGACAGCGATTTCGAACACCAACATCCGGATTTATAAACAAGAAAACTGAGATGAAAAATGCCATGAGACAAGCACCTTTGATGGAGCTTTCCCCCAGATTTTGCATTTTCCATTTGTTCTGCGAAATTCTTGTCTTTGCTTATCACAATCATAGTTGATGTATATGCAAAGAATGCCGGCGACAAGAATATAAAGTGCGAGCTGCAAAATAGAAAGAAAACTTTTAGAAGCTATTTTTTAGACACCGATAGCCAACAGTGTAACCTTTTTAACTTCAAAAGCATGTTAAAATTAGCATAAGTCTCACTTCCAATGAACAAGAGTCTTAGAAGAGTTTGTTTTTCATTCAACTGTTTTGAAGCTTAAGACTGAAACCTAAATCTGGTAGATAATTTTCATAAAAATTTTAAATAGACAAAAAGATCTATTTTATTGTGCGGATAAGGGTATGTTCATTATCTTTTTCCGAACTTTGCATGCATATAGAGGGTCTTCAGAGAATCATGACCCTGTATTCACGTTGTGACACAGGATAGAAAAAGAAACAGTCATAGTAACACAGTAAATAATGTTCTTGTTGGAATTCCGTATGTATTTAGTAAAAGAATCTTGTCACTAATGTAAATTATTCGTATAATCTAATCCCTAATTTCTAGGAGTTAACATTGGTTCTTGGAATAATAGAGTGAATAAGAATCTTTTCTTCTCTCAGTTTTATTCAGTTCTCCGTTACTTCAAACAATTGCAACCCAAAATCATAGGGATCATTGATCTTCAAACAGAGCACATAACACTGCTGACATACAGATAATGGAAAGAGATGGCTAACATATTCTCCCTAATTTTTGTAGCAAAACAGTAACATACCTGTGTTCCGAGGTTCACCGGATGGTTGACAAGGTACATCCCTGGTGATGTATATATGGATGGAACCCAAACCAAGCATCCCCAACAGATATAGAATCCAGCTGCCGAAACCCATACATGAATTAAGACGTGATAGATATCGAAAAAATATTTCAGTATTCAAAACACTAAACATTTGAAGAACAGTAGAAACTTCAATGGCTAAGAATTCAAAGTTCAGTTTCAGGTTCAGCTGAAACCAAAAAAATCAAACCAGTCATATCTATTACGCATATAGATGATGCTTAATTGGGTAGAAAATCAGCACCATAGGCTACAATCAGCTAATGTGGCACATATAAATGATTCATATGTATATACACAGGTAGCTTTTTCTTTTTCTTTTTTGATAAAAATAGGAGGCCTCGTTAAAAACCCCCTTCATAACCTTCAAACTACAGAAGTAGCTTAACGGACATTGGAAGGAGGAAAAGAGTGCCTCAAAATTTTATTAATATAATACCAAGTACAATACCAGTACATATACACAGGTAGCTTTTTATATATGTTTTTATATTCTATACTCAGACTCGGACTGGATATATATTTGTTTCCAAAGTGGAAGTGTTCAACTTTTATATGTTTTCCCATCTTCCATGGACGTTAATGCCACTGTGCTTTCCAGACATGCCTAAATTGATGGACTGGAAAAAAATTCAGGTCCCATTAATCCAATTTTTTCCACATTCCAAAATCCACATCATCCAGGTGACATCTTTTTGCCAACAGAAGAGCTTAGGGTAAATATTGTAAAAGAGGACCATATTTGGTTTAAATAGAAGATCATAGCTTCTTTTCTCTAGAAATATAACCAACAAACGAACAATAAACGACACTTCTACAAAGAGTTAGTAGAACAAGTGTAAACCTCGATCATGTGCAATGTCCATTGTGTTCCAATAACCAGCTTCCCACCAATAGAACTTTGTAACATACACAAGCATCAATGTTGTATTCACAAGCATCGAATCCGAAACTTTACCATTGGCTTCATACTGATACACCGAAAAAGAAAAAAAGGATGATATCAAAGATAGCATCAAAATGATTATCTAAGGCTAACGAGGCCTAGCAATATGCGATCTTAGAGAAAATTTGTTAGTGCAACCCGCACTGCAATAATTAAACAGCGAGACTTACCTGCTTTATGCAATAAGTGACAGCGAGAACAGCCCATGACATCATCCCGAATCTGCAATTCGTAAAGACTTTGATGTCGAAACTTTTGCCAATTCGTGGATACAACTCCATACCCTGCAACAAATAGACCGTTCAAAAATGACCACCACATTAACACTTTTAGGCTCACCACATGCATCAAAAGGAATGCATTCTCAAAGTTACGCTGCATAATTCTCCTATGAACACTTTTTCAAGAATTTGCAGCAGCTCATTTATTACTTCCTAGGTCTCTTTCTTCATTTTAGGACAAAACTAATAGTTGATTCTACTTTTCATGTTTGTTTTTGTAAAGTACTTTTTTCTTTTCGCAATCTTATATATCTGTGAAACATATATACTGGCATATCTTTTGCATGTCTATGTATGCGTTTTCATCGTAAAAATCAGACTTCTAAAACAAATAGGACCAAAGGTTTGAATTTTAGATAGAAATCCTCAATCAACGCCAACACACACTTCAACTAAAAATATTAATCTGTGTTATCCGTGGTAGTATTTCATAATCTACTTGATCCAAACCTTTCAAGCTCAGAAAGGAACTTTAAAAGTAAAAACAGCTAATGTAACAGATTCATACCCAGTAGAAATCAATTATTAAGTTCCCAGATGACCCGGAATCAGTAGAAGAAGGAGCCACATGACCCTACAAAAATAAAGCATAGTTTCGGGAGTTATAATCAAACCATTAACTGGTGAAAAAAAGAATAGGAAAACTTATTTCCTCACTTTAATGTACAAGAAAACACAAAAGATCAAACTTCCAAAGATGAGCGCCGAATATATTTCTCCCAAATGATCATAAACGACAGTGGGGTTGAAAATCTCGAACCTGGAAACAAAAATCGGCAGAGGGATTAATGTTGCTTGAAAGTTAGGTCAAGGAGGAAAAGGATCAAAGGAATGAAGCTAATATAATTTATTACATCTCAGAGGTATGAATAAGAACTCAGGACCAGAACACTGCACGTGTAAACAGTTCAGTACAATGACAATCATAGGCATACTTCCAAGTAAGAGTAGAAGTTGGAGCATGATATCTGAATATTTGGCTCAATGAGTAGGTGCATGAATCCCACTGCTAAAAGAGCTCAGTTCAAAACCACTCTTACCAAATCGAAAAAGAAGTCGGAACACTGAATCAAAAACCGGAAACATTATTTCCAAACTGATACAAGATCCTTATTTACATTCAGAGTTTTCCTCTCACACTTCAATGACCAGTGTATGGAGCTGTCATATATTTTTTCAATAAAAGAAAAGAAATTCTGCAATTGCATCTGATATGCTAAAAAGTAAAGTCCTTACCACCAAAGACTAATATAGGTAACCAATGTCACAAAATACGCTGCCATACCATTAGCCTGCAAAATAGATAAAACAAAACTGATGAATTATACAATAAAATAGTTATATATATTATGATTAGAAGCTATAAACACAGTAACATTATGCAAATCAAACCTATACTACTAGTGCTAATATTGGAGGGGACTCGTACTCATATACCTGTATTAGTGTCGGACACTGATATTTGTACAAAAACAAAGAGTAAGAGTAACATAGACTCAAACCTTGTAAACAGGTCGGTGCCCAGTGGGTGATATTGGGCCCTCGACCCTCTTTCCAGGGAGAATCAATTGAAGTGCTGCTTCAAAAGTCCCGTAAACAAAAATTATTTTCCAAGCAATGGCACTGGGTCTTGGCCATATTTCTAGAAAACCCTGCAAACCCTGCTTCTTGAGAAAATTCCATGTTTGAACAATGGATCCATCAGCATGTACCATTGTATACCATCTGAGTGTAGGAAAGGCACAATTTTAATATGAACTCGAGAATCAAATTATTGTCAGTTTGATAAAAACAAGAACTCGGTTAAGCAGCTACAGAAGGATTTTACACAGTATTACTCAGACATGGGTATCTACAACTTCTTACTTCCATGATTTGGAGAAACATATCATCGTATCTATATCTGGATATGCATCATACATGGATACTTCAAAAAAGAAAGAGCTATAATAACGTAGATTTTACATGCCTATCATTTGCACTTGCATAAATCAGGAAGCAAACTGAAACATAAGAAGATAAAAATTGAAACTTTACTTGATTAGTATTCAATTTTATTTTGCAACTAAACAAATATTCAGGCTTTGAGCATTTTTTCCTTCATTTTCTCGATAACCAAACAGACCAAAAATAAAAAAATCCATTCCACAAAAATCATTCAAAACTTTAATAGATAAGGAAATATCCCCAATATATATAAGAATCTATTAAATCTATTAACTTCACGAATTTTTCAATACAAGCATAAACCTTTTCAACGATTTTACAAGAACGACAACCATAGTACCAACAATCATAAGCACAATTAAGATCTAAAACTTTGCATTAATGATACAAAAATGTAAAATGAAGTGTTGAGTTTGCTTACAGTAAGATAACAAAAGGAGGACAAAGTGAGAGAAGCGATATCATCGAGAAATACGTGAGTGCAGGTGAATGAACTGTTTTTCCTTCTGCTGCTCCCATTTTTGTTTTTGCGTCTCTCTTTGATCTCTTAGATTGATCGCTTTCTTCTCTTTGGTTTTCGGCCTTTGCTGGTCTTCGATACTGATAATGAATATCTTTACTTAGTTTAGGTGTGACCACGATTTATAGATTAATAAACCACTCCCCCTACCATGTGAATGTACAGATATTTTTTTAATGACTTTTGGATTTCACTGTTGGATAGCCTAAAATAAGACAGGATAAATTATATGATAGGTCACTTCATTATACTACAATAATATTTTGGTAACTAAACTTTAAAAAGATATAACATAGTCACTAAACGTTTTTAACAATTATAAAATGGTCACCGGAACTTTATAATAATACGGGTAAAGTACATTAGAGGTCATTGAACTATTCTTAAATGACTATTTCGGTCAATTAAGTTTCAAGAGTTACAAGATGGTCATTCAATTTATCAAACCATTACATTTATTATAAGTCATAGTGATCATTTTGTAATAGTTCAATAAATTTATTAATTATTTTAAAACTTTTGAAAGTTTATGACCAAAAATATTATTTGAGCATAGATCAATGACCTCTAGTGTACTTTGCCCTAATAATAATAAAGTTTGATAAATTTAATCAACAATTTTGTGATAGTATTTTTTTTGGGTCAAACGAAACCATGATTACATTTTGTGACTGTATGATAAAGTTTAATAACCATTTTGAAACATTGTGGTGACCATTTTGCAATCATTTGAATATTTAATGATCATTTTATATCTTTTGAAAGTTCAGTAGTCAAAATAATCGTTTGAGTATAGTTTAGCAACCTTTGATGTACTTTATCCAATAATATATTATAAGTTATTTTTTTTACAAATTAATTTATTTTTATCACTGCTTACAAATCAAAACCAAAACTTAATGTTTCTTTTACAAATCAAATCATCTAATATCGAAATTGAAAATAAAGAAAAAGTGATTCAAGTAGAGCTACATTACAACCATTTTTATTGTTCTCAAAACTAAAATTGTTTATTATTTTAGTAATATCAAACCATAAAATAGATTTTATGTAATATATTTAAAAATCACATTTTTCATTGGTCTAACATGGATACAATATAGTATTGTTCGAAAATATCTCAACCATTTTGATAATAAACACTCATACATCCCTGCATATGTCTATGTCGTGCTCAAATTCAAGACCTCGAAAAATAATAACAATCCCTTAATCAATGTGTGGTTTGTGCATGCTTTCAGTACCATGTTAGATTTCTTCATTTAATGTATTAAAGGGCAAAAGCTTGCATTTCTTCTTCGTTTAAGAAAGAATCAAACGAAATATAATGCAATTGGCACTGAATAAACTTATTGGATTGCCTAATTTAGTTTTCATTTTGAATTCTACCATATGTTGCTATCAAGTTTAGTTCATCAAAGACCCTAATCACTTTAAAGTAAGAACGTAGGAAAGCAAATTGCAGAGCAGAGCTGAAGCATTGGTGTTGGGGAAATTTCAGGTGTTAGGCAGACGAGGGACTACAACAGGAGCACCGCGAACCTTTTCAAGAGCAAAACTTATCCTTAATGGTCGACCTAACAGTGCCTGCACCAAAACAAATATCCAATAAGTCATCCATCTCCCATGGAAGCAATACTATACACTTTGCGTACCTTTCCATCCATTGCATCTTTCGCAGACATGGCTTCATTTGCATTAGAAAAATGAACAAACCCAAAGCCTCTTGACCTACCACTGTCTTTATCATACATTATCCTCACTAGAAAAAAGAAACATCAAAAGGATCAGAGAGCAATCACTTGTTCAAGTCATTCTGCAAAGCAAGCTTCGTATGGCACTATTGTCCCCTCAAATGGCGTGTAGTAGAAAATAAGTTATCTTTTAAAATGGATGGTAATAACCACTAACAACGCATTAAGCGAATCAACAAGAATGTTTGGTAAATACAGAGTGTCCAAAGACGGGGGTAACTCAAACGCACAACATTGATGACACTTATCGATCAAATAATTCTTAGAATTCAAACAACGCAAATGAAAGTAGACGTATTTGATAATGATCTAAGAGAATTTCAGTCATTTCATCAGCATAAACGAAACACATCGACTCTCGGCATCGTCATCGTTGAGACAATTTATCGAACACCTAAAAGACTGGGCTAACCTTCAGAAACGTGGCCAAAAGAAGAGAAGGCGTCTTTCAAGGATTTCTCATCAACCGACCAAGATAATCCTTCAAAAACCAAACATCCAATCAGAAAGAGAAACATAAAGAGAGTGAGAAAGAGAGAAAATACGGGACCTGCAACAAAGAGTTTGGTGTTGGGAGGAGTGGAAGATGAAGGCGGTGAGTGTGAGCAATAGGATCGCAAGGATGAAGGTGAAACAGGGTTACTAGTTGTTGCTAAATTTCTTCTGGCAATGAACCTGATGAGACTCCTCATTTCTCCTGCTCGTGTTTGGGGAGGGAAAGAAAATCGTGAAATAATATACAAAAAAGATTGATTCTAAGAACGGAACTTATACTATACATAAATTAGTTTTTTTTTACTAATATATATAAATTAGTTAAAATTAAACATAATTATATATTTTAAAAACTAATCATGAATAATAGTTTACATTATTGAAGTTTTTTTTAATAAATCTAAGATGAACACAATATAGTACATGTTAACATACTCTCAAGTAGTTGATGATAAACATTTATATATCTATTAGTGTTTAAATCTGGAATTTTTAATTAATTGACAATGAACATTCATACACCTTTAGGTGCTCGAACCTAAAATCTCTATAAAGAAATAACAAGTCCCTTAAGATCACTTAGATGCATGGTTTTCAGAACCGGACCGATTAGTGAACCGGTTATGCTATCGGTTTACTGGTTCAACCGATCGAACCGGTTCGACCGGTCAGAAGAACCGGACGACGTCATAATTATTTAAAAAATTAAATAAAAATACCAAAAATATTTAATAAAAAAATTTTGTATATCACAAGTCATATTCAAAGCAAGTCGTAACATATATAAGTTAAAAACCATATAATCAACTGAAACAAAATGATTCAAATTAACTACAACATAATATTTAAGGTAAAACATATTAAATAATAAATATAATTATAATTAAAAAATAAATTTGGGGCTAAAAAATCATAACAAAATGATATTGTTTAATTTAATTTTTTTTAAAACAATCCCACATGGCTAAGAAACATAGAAGAACATTCCAAAAGTCTAAAGAGTAAAAATATGAGAACAAAACAATCTTACATGGCTAAGAAATATAGAAGAGCATCCCAACTAACTTCTATAAATAATAGAAGTAATTTGGCATTCAAAATCATTGAGCCTTTTGGTGTGCATAGAGTGAACTATTCTTTCACTTCAATCAAGCTCGAATTTTAGGCTTTAATCGAGCTTCTAAATTTTTTTTGAGTTCAAGCCTTTTTGAGTTCAAGTTTCAATATTATATTTCGAGTTCGAGTTGAACTTGATAATTTTTAGTTCGTGAGTTTGAGTCGAGTTGAGCTTATTTTTAAAGTTTGAGTTGAGCTCAGCAATACTCGAGTTCGACTTGGCTCGTTTAACAAACGACGTCGTTTGGTTTAATTTTTTTTTAAAAAAAAAAATTCGGTTTTTCCTGGTTTTTTCCGGTTTTCAGCCGGTCCGATTTGAACGATTCAGCGGTTTCGACCGGTTTACTAGTAGCGGTTCAACCGGTGTAGTTTGAACCAGACTAGACAGCGATTCCCGATTGAATCGGCCGTCCGGTCCGATTTTCAAAACACTGCTTAGATGTTGCTAAAATCAATTTTATCAGATGGAAATTAAATAAAAAAAAACTATAAATTAATTTACGAAGATTTCACATTTTAAATGAAATAAATAAGAAACATTATAGTAAGTAATGTAAAGAATGATGTGTATCGTTGTTTATTATTATTTAAATAATAATAATAATGAAATATATTTGTTTAATTTAATTATAAAAATTAAGAAGCACCACCATCAATTTAATTTATAAAAATTTAAAATTTTAAAGTGATCAACGTATAATTATAAATTAGTTAGAATTTTAAAGGTAAATTATTTAAAATAAAGGGTAAACTATATCAAGACCTAACTATTGCTCCTTTTTATTTTGAACAGCATTTTTGAAATTTTATCAATCAGGTCACTCAATTATTTAAATACATTCAATTAAGCCACTTGTCGTTAATATTTAACGGAGAAGCTAATATGACATTTAAAATATTTGTTAATTACATATTTGGTCATTGTTACTTATATATTCTATCAATTCGGTCCTAATTTTAATAAATTAAAATAAACTTAACCTTCAAATCAAATGATATCATATGTCACTGTAACTTACCATCAGCGTGTAAACTTCTTTGATTTCATTTGTGTGCCTAATTGGAAAACGTAACTTATATTAATTTTAGAATCTAAAATTGTTTCAATAAATTTATTCAAAATATTATAAACACAATTAATATGAACTATAACTTGAATTAGTTATATTTGTAGGAATCATGGAACTTTACGAGTATATCTCGGACATTCATTACAGTAATTTCAATTGAATTAAAGTAAATTTTAAAATACTAAATTAAGTTTAAAACGTGTAAATCAATTAAACGAATAAATGAAACATCAAAATGATATAAATGAAGTAATAATCTAGTGCAAATTTTTGTTATCGAAAAACTTTAAATACATGTATAATAATTTTGGTTTATTGAGGTTTTTTTAGTGATGTTATTATTGTGGAGGTCATTTTTAGTTTATGATGTGATACCGACCAAATTTCGGAAGATGTCATTTGATTTGAGGGTTAAGTCCATTTTAATTTATTAAAATTAGGACCAAATTGATAGAATATATAAGTAACAGTGACCAAATGTGGAATTGTACCAAATATTCAAGTGGCTTAATTGAATGCATTTAAATAATTGAGTGATCTAAATAACAAAATTTCAAAAATGATGGTCAAAATGAAAAAGGACACTTAGATGATCATTGGTATAGTTTACCTTTTATTTTAGATAATTTCTTT